TTGTTCCATTCTAATTCTGTAATGGAGACAATTGCTGTGTCAGAGCCACTGTCCTCCAAGCTTTGGCTTGCCTCCAAAGTCCCCACTTTTAAAACTGTCATGAAAAGTTGGGGCCACCCCAAGTTTGTCTCTGCTTGGTGAATGTTGAAGGACAAAGGATCCTTCTTAGACTGTGGAGTTCGGAGATGACAGCATCAGTCTCGACACTTCTTGTGATAAAGAAGCTTGGTGATATAGAACTTCTCCTAAAAAGTAGCAATATCTGTCAAAATTCAAGTATTATAGCCTTAAACTCAGTAAATCCACTACTAAATGTTGCTCTGAGGACATAATTGACTAGGTGAGGCACCACAAAGTTACAAAGATGTTCATGACAGCATTTCATAATGGTAAAAAAAAAAAAGAATATGTGACTAGGTAAGTGAATCTGGAAACATCTGTTCATTTGAATACACTGTTTTGTCTTTTTTATTGTGGTAAAATACACACAACACAAAATTTAGCATTTTAACCATTTTTTAGTGTCCAGTTCAGTGGCATTTGGTACACCCACATTCTTGTGTAACCATCACTATGACTGAACTCGAAAACATTTTCATCTTCTGAAACTGAAACTCTATGCCCATTAAACAATAACTCCATGTTGCCCTCTCCTTCAGCGCCCCCATAACCATCATTCTACTTGCTGTCTTTATGAATTTGAGAGATCTTTGTGCCTCACAGAAGTACAGTCATACAGTATTTGTCCTTCAGCAACTGGCTTATTTCACTTAGCATATTGTCTTTAAGGTTCACCCATGTTTGAAGCATGTGTCAGAATTTACACTTGACTTTGAAATTTAGGGTTTTTATCACCTGTATTCATTTAGTGTCAAAGATGGCCACAGAATAATGTTGAGTGCAAAAGCATTTGTAAATGGCATGAAAAGAGTGATTCTGCTTATGTAGAATTATGAACGTGTGTAAATATATATTAAGAAAGAGGAGAGAGACGAAATGAGGGAGGAAAAGAAAGAGGAAGTAACAGATATGGAAGAAACAGTAGTTACTGTGTGGTAGTTGAGATTTATAGAACTTTTTTGTTTTCTTCTTCAAACTTTATTTCCTTTTTGATTGTATTTGCTATGTTATGCATCCTTTTAAACAAGACAGCCAAAAAAATAAAAGAAAATGAATATATTGTACATGGTATCCAAGAGTGCAGTAAACTAGNATTGAAGAACAAAACGACAGCAACTTGTCTGTTCCCCTTCCCCCTATTCCCCAGCACTGTTCCCATCCCCCCAATTCCCCAATTAAAAAAAAATCTTTAAAAAATAAAAAAGAAAGTGACTGGAGAGCTTGTCACTTGCTGACGGTAACTTAACTTAGATTTTAAATGAAGCTGAGGGGAACTAAACTAGCACACCACTCCCCTCCCAGGACATTTGGATAGAACAGTTGTAGGGAAAGGGTAAGTTTGTTTTCTTGGAATTCTGTGAATCCCACTTATTCAAATACAAGTAACAAAGACTTTTCATGACAGTTCTAAAATCCCCACTTTGGAGGCAAGCCAAAGCTTGGAGGACAGTGGCTCTGACACAGCAATTGTCTCCATTACAGAATTAGAATGGAACAACGCAGGATTCAATCTAATTGCACAGTATTTGCTGAGAGCATATTCTGTGTAAGACAGAGTGACCTCCAGCAACGCAGAGAACTGTAGAAAATCGCCACCTCTAATCTTGAAAGAAACCTAAGGATCACTACACCAATTCTCTTATTTGCAAAGAGAGTCAACAGAGGTCCAAAGAGGGGAATTGACTCACCAGTCCATACAGGTGTTCAGCAGCAGAGACACGGTGAGCATCTGATTCCTGGCTGTCTGTTCAGAAAACAGTGATCACCCCTCAAAATTTATGTTCGAAAGCAAGGCGCCTACCTGTTCCTGTAGCCCAGTCCTGTGTGTTGTGGCTGGTGGGCCAGCTCACCTCTGGGGAGCTCTCAGCTGGAACTTCCTACGGGCTGTTCTAGCCAGACAATCTTGCTGTTTTGCTTTCCAAACTCTGAGACTTCCTGTCTCTTTCTCAGAGTAGTATTTATATTTATGGCTACACAGGAGATAAGTCTTGATGTACTTGAACACCGTTGACATATAAAAAGTGCCTGTGCCCCCACTTTCTAAATTTCAAGGTCTGGAAAATGACACGAATTAGAAGTAGCACGCAAGAAAAAAAGCTTGTGAAGATGAGTGAGTTGCAGGGTCCCATTTAGAATTCATTTCCCGCATTTCTATAAGTAATTCTACCAGTTCCTTTTAGCCTGAATTTTCTTATCTTCTAAGTGGGATGGGTAATAATAATTCCACCATATGGCTGCTGGGAGAATTAAAGAGAAAAGGTGTAAAGGGCTTATAAAAAGTAGGCACTTGGTAACTAGTGGTGATAATGAGGTTAATTTTGAATTTGGGAGAATTTATTTATTTTCCCAATTTCCAGGCTCTTGGCAAACTGTGAGGACTTTCTGTAGTGTTCTGTTGGACTCCTTTCTCTTTATTTCTTGTATATGTCTTGCATATTTTTGGTTTGTTGCTACCATGTGTTTCATATATACCAAGCTATGTTTACAGTAGTCAATTTTAAGTTGATGGTCAATAATTTTCAAAACCAAAATTTGTTCATCAATTCTTTTCCCCTAGAATTTTGGCTAGCAATTCAGTTTGAGTGTAAAAGGTAAATATTTCTAGGAAATAAGTCAAAACTGAGTGTTGTGTCTCCTTACAACTAGTTCAACCCACTGAAGCTGATAAATGATTATAAACTTTGAACAATAGGACGTATTGTAAACAGTTCATTTTCCCATCTGGAGTGCTAGTTTTCAGTCTTCAGCTTGCATAACCAGATTGAGACATCCTTCTTGACCGCTGGAAAACCCCTAACTCTCCCCCTCGGTGAAAACTTACCGAATTTCCTCTCTAAGGGATTTCCCTACTGGACACATCAGTTTGTTCTCTGTATCTATGAGTTTGTTTCTGGTTTGTTTGTTCATTTATTTTACTTTTTTAGATCCCATATGTAAGTAAAATCACATGGTATTTGTCTCTCTCTGTCTGACTTATTTCACCAAGAATAATATCCTCTAGGTCCATCCATGTTGTCACAAATGGTAAGATTTCATTCTTGTTTATGGCTGAGTAATATTCCTTTGTATATATCTAGATATGGACCACATCTGGATGCCAGATGGAAGGGGGTTTGGGAGACTAGGTGAAAAAGTTGAAGGGATTAAGAACTACAAATTAGCAGTTACAAAACAGTCATGGGGATATAAAGTACACCATTAGGAATATAGTCAATAATACTGTAATAACTATGAATGGTGCCAGGGGATGCAAGAGTTATCAGGGAGAACATTTTATTATCATTTTATCTGTGAAAAACTAACTGGAAATTTAACTGATTTCCCCATAGATTCCTTCTCCCACAGATTCAGAAGGGGTGTGAGAGAAACCCAAATGACCAAGATTTTTTGATAGTTTGTTCAAAGCTGGTCATAGACCCAGAGGAAGATCTGGGCTATGAGGGTTTTCTTAAATGAAGATGATGTTCCTCATGGGGCTGAAGATGACAAAATGGCGGAAACTGTTGCTATGGTGTCAGCCTGGACCTAGCTGCCTAGAGACTTGGATTCTAGCCCCGCCTCTTCCACTGACTTGACGTGTGATCTGTGGTAGTTACATTCAGCAATATCGCCTCATTTGGAGATGAAAAAGATGGGACTAAAATTCTCTCCAAGCATTTTATGAGTTTCTTAAACTTCCCTGGCTTAGATTTGCTCCTCTCTCAAGAGGCCAGCCTTGCCAGCCTTTAGGAAACCAAAAAAATATGACGCAGGTCATGCTGCCAGCTGCTGCTTCAGGTTGCACGTCCCAGAGACATCTTACCCTCCCACCCCTTCTGAGCAAAGGCTGTTCTCTAAGCAGCTTTAAAAAGAATGTGAAAGTAGCAGCAATGTCCCCTCGACAACCCACCCATTCCAGAATATGAGCTTATTTGCAGCCCTGATGGCTCTGCCTTTGACTCCAATCCACTGACATCCTTCCCAAGGTGTGCCTGGATTTCCCTTAAGCACGAAGTTAGAAAGATGTGAAGCCGGAGACAGAGAATGAAGAGGCACCTGAAGGAAATACCTTTTGGGCAGAGAGTCCTCACAGGTTGCTCTCAGTTTGCCAAGAGCCTGGGAAATGGGAAAATAAATAAAATCTCTCAAATTCAAAATTAACATCATTATCACCATTAGTTACCGAGTGCCTATTTTTTATAGGCCCTTTACACCCTTTCTCTTTAATTCTCCCAGCAGCAATATGGTGGAATTATTATTATCCATCCCACTTAGTAGATAAGAAAATTCAGGCTAAAAGGAACCGGTAGAATTACTTATAGAAATGCGGGAAATGAATTCTAAATAGGACCCTGCAACTCACTCATCTTCACAAGCTTTTTTTCTTGCGTGCTACTTCTAATTCGTGTCATTTTCCAGACCTTGAAATTTAGAAAGAGGAAGCAGAGGTACTTTTTATATGTCAAAAGTGTACAAGTACAGTGAGGCTTATATCTTGTGTAATCATAGATATTAATATAGTCTGAGAAAGAGACAGGAAGTCTTGGAGTTTGGAGAGCAAAACGGCAAGATTGTCTGGCTAGAACAGCTCGTAGGAAGTTCCAGCTGAGAGCTCCCCAGAGGTGAGCTGGCCCACCAGCCACAACACACAGGACTGGGCTACAGGAACAGGTAGGCGCCTTGCTTTCGAACATAAATTTTGAGGGGTGATTACTGTTTTCTGAACAGACAGCCAGGAATCAGATTCTCACCAGGTCTCTGCTGCTGACCACCC